TCATAATTTGACTCTTCTACTGTTTTTTTAAGTAAATCAAAAATTTTAGTTACAACAATATAATAAAGTGGTTTTCTAATTATGTTTAGTCACTAAATATAAAACATAATCACTTTAGAAAAAATAAAATCATTTTTATATTTGATTTTTTTTCAAAAAACAAAGACATTTATTGAAAGTATTAGAATTTTCTTAATTGAAAAAGTTGGATGTACGGGGCCTCTCACGAGGTTTGCACGATTTACATTTTTAGATATATTGTAAGAATTTTTCATTTACTCGATCAACTTTATTTAATGAAGCTGTTTAAGCTTTTTACTGATTAAAAAGCACCGATCACTTTTCTGATCAAAAAATATCAAAATTCCTAAATTTCATATATCAAGTTTATCTTGAAAATTTGCACCAATAATGATAAAATTTAATCAATTTTACTCAAAACACCAGTAACACTTTAAAATGTCAAAAGCATAAATTTTTGACAATTTGAAAGACATTAAAATAAAAAGAAACAAATAAAAATATAGATGTGTTTCTCACAGTGAAAAAGTATGTTCAACTGAAACAAATAACGATACAATTGTCATGACAGAAATGTTATAAACATGTTTGACTATATATGTACGTTAGTATTACCGAGGTACATGAAATTCATATAAATCAAATCTTCAAATAACGATATCACATGTTTAAATTTAGTGGGAATTCTATGTTTAACGGTACTATCATTTAAGCCAAATTCTAAGCGAGTTTTTTTTTGTATTTATAAAGCAAGATTTTGTTAATAAGAAATTAGAAACAGAATTTTATATATAAAGCTATTTTACTGTTTTTGTAACACAAAAAAGGAAGACTTTAATAACTGATTTCTCGAATTCCTTAATTTTCTGATTTCTTTTCTTTATATACAATCATCTTTTTATTACTAAGAAAATTCTAGAAAGAAATCAAACATATAAAACATAATATTAAATAAATTATGCCCCAAAATACTTTTAACAATTTTTATATAAATATATATCCAAGCGTCCAAGAAAAGGAGAAGAAAGAGCATAAAAGAAGCACGTTCTCTGGAAATTCGAGACGTGTGCTTAATATTATAGAGTATTTCTTATTATATAACCATATCCCTTCCTGTTACAGCAAAAGCTTTTTTTATTAAAATTTAAAACATATTAACATAAAAACTTGTATTTTAAATATATCCGAAGAAACATTTACATCATCAGCAAACGAGTAAATCCTATTTTTGTTATTTAATATATATAATAGAAATAAAATATGTTTCATTTGGCAAGGTTATGATTCCTTCGAAGAACATAACCATGTTCAAAGCCAAGATTTCTTATACATTTATTTTTAAAACTTATTCTTTAATTTTACTTATAAAGCTTTTTTCCGATAAGAATAATCGAAAAATTGTTAATTTAGACAAAACGCTGTTTTTACTGCTTTTTTTATTGATAAAAAATTATCAATAGATCTCAAATTTGATAAATTTAGTCCACCTATTTAAGTTTAGAATTAATTTTGTATTTAGATTCAACAAGAATATATTTGTGTTATGTTTTTAATATACACCTGCATGTTCTTATTGTTTATCAGCAAAACATTTATAATTATTTATACATAGTTTTTCTTGCGGCTCATATGGGATTTTTCATTTCTTCTTGTAGACTTTTTATGCAGAACTATTTTTTTCAATATCTCTTGTGTCGTTTTTACAAAATATGATCTAAATATTTATACTTTAACAGGAATAATGTATCAAATCTGTGTAAAGGATTTATTATGATGATTATCGTCATTGTCCTATTTTTTTAGGTGTTAAAGGGTCAGTATTTACATCGCTAGACTAACTAAAAAAAATGTATTATAGCTATAAAACATAAAAAAAAGATGAAGGTTTTATATAAAAACGATCTAAAATATAAAAAATTGCAATTGTAAACTTAATGTTTTTTAGGTTGTATTTAGCTTTTTGGTAATAATTTTATTTACTTGCAATATTTTTCTCTATTTGAATAATTACTATTGCTCTTTTTTATTTAAATGAAATATATTACAATTACACATTCACAACATTTAAACTAAACAGTGGTATATCAATAACATAAATATTTTGATAAAATAAGGTCTTTTTAGAAAATGGATCGATGAATTGAAAATTATAAAAATATATAATAAAGATAAAAATAGGAATCTAGTTCCGATTCCACTTATGATTATAAAAAATTAACTTGAGCCAGTTTAGTATTTATTTCCGAGCATTCTTATTTTTTTTTAATTTTTCGGGTATGCTTAAATTTATGGCGATTTATGAATTTCCAATTAAAATCACACAATTCTTTCAAATACAAAGTAATAAAAAGCTTTTTATAAGTTAATAACGGGATTTTTTGCAAATTTCGCGTAAATAGTACTACTTTGCTATATAAAATGTTATTTTTACCCTTCTTAAAATGCAGCCGACTTGTATTTAATATTTGTACGTTTGTTATCAGTCGAAATATAGCTAAAAAAAGGTAGTAGTTTAAATTTTTATCAAAAATTAAATTTAATTATCACCAATAATAATGTTTAGATGTGTACAAACACATTGAAAATGATCTGAATCAAGAATTTATTTTTGATGTGAAACAATTTGCTAAAAAGTAAGTTGATTTTGGTTGTAATAAAGAAAACCTTGCCAATGACAGTAAAAATGAGGGACAAGTGAATGGGAATCTGAAAAGAATATTGAAGAAATATTATAGAAGATATAGTATTCTTATAAAACTGTAGTACTTCACGATATTAAAAAATTAGTAAAAAATATTATTACTTTATGATGACAAATATGGATAATTAGAATTTGGTGAAATATGGGATTTTGTATTTCAATTGGTAATTGGAGACGAATTTGCTATGTTTATCAATTTAAGTTGTTTCCGAAAATAGAATGTCCCTTCGGTTTATTAAAAGTTGCCAATTGCAAAAAAAAGTTGAAAAATATGTAGTTTTAAATTTTACTAAATAGTTTACATTAATAATAAAAATAATGAAAAAAATTTTGCTTATTCTTTTAAACATTATATTACTACTTATAAAGAAATCTTTTGGAGTATTATTTCAGGTATAAAAAAATAAAGAATGATGCAGCAAAAACCTATAGATTTTATATCAGAATAATAGATTTATAAAACTTTAAATTTTTTTTGTAAAAATAAGTATAAATAATATTATTAAAACATAAATGGGGCCAAAGTATGTCGATCGAAATGTTGTTTCACATATATGAAAATCTCTATTTTTTTTATTACTAAAAGATACAACGCAAAGAAAAAAATTCTATTCTAAAAACAGACATAAAACATAGTTAGACACGTTTTTTTTATTATATTCAAAGAATGTCCTATTATATTGATCCAAATTTCTGATTCCAGATGTCGTAATTTTTCAGATCATCTTCACAAACACTTTTTCTGATCTGTTTGATCGCATTCCTAAAATCGTTGATATTTATAGGCCTAGTTGCATTAGGATCTGCGCTGAAAATATCTACGATTTCCCTAATTGGCTCCATAGATGCTTCTCTACACAAATTAAACATATCTGAACCTGAATATCCGTCTGTCAAATTTGCAATTTCATCGTAATCTTCGGTTATCAAATTGACAGAAAAATCCTTCAGAAGATGTTTTGTGATCGTGAGTCTTGCTTCTTTACATGGCAAAGGCACGTAAATTCTCTTCACTAAACGTCTTCTTGCGGCCTCATCGATTTCGTGGGGCCTGTTAGTAGCACCGATAACAAGAATTCTATCGTCTTGATTTGTGCTTGCACCATCAAATTGAACGAGAAATTCAGTTTTGATCCGACGCATTCCATCATTTTCGTTATCTGTTCTCTGAGACAGCAAACTATCAATTTCGTCGATGAAAACGACGCTTGGCTGCATTTTGCGTGCCATATAAAACAATGCTCTGACCATTTTCTCGCCCTCGCCAACCCACTTCGACGTGAGAGACGACGCGCTGATCGAAAAGAAAGTTGCCTTGCACTGGCTTGCAACGCACTTCCCGATCATAGTTTTTCCGGTTCCCGGCGGCCCAAAAAGCAGCATTCCCTTCGGTGGATTTCGCAGTCCCTTGAAGATGTCAGGTCTGAGCATTGGCCACACAACGATCTCGTTGATGCTTGCCTTCACACTGTCCAAACCTGCTATATCGTTCCAGTTCACCGTTGGTGCCTTGTCAAGAATTTCCAGCCGGATTTTTTCTAGTATTTTTTCGTCGATGCCGCTTTCCGAATCGACTTTCTGGTCGCTTTCCTGGTTTATCTTTTTCTTAGATGGAATCACTTCTTGCCCGCTCGCTGTCACAAAATCGGTTTTTTGGTGCAGCAAAGTTGTTTCGCTTTTTTCAATGTCGAAGTCGAGCTCATCGACTGGCTCCTCGTTTTCTAAAACCTTTTCAAAATCGTCGATTTCCTTGCAATACAACGGAATTGTGATAAAATCAAAGAGAAACGGCAAGTAGTCGTTGAATTTGTCAGTGTCTTTCAGCAACAAAACTCGCTGCAGCACGTGCGGGTAAAGCTCTTTGTATTTTGATACTATTTCCTGTGTGTACTTTTCTGGCGGCAGAAATGACGGAAATTCGGGTAGGCCCTGGTCTGCTAAAAGCTGCTGCAGCTCATAAAATATTTTTTCCATACTTGCTTTTTCTTCAGCACGCAATATTCGAGAATTAAAAATTCGAAAATTATATTTGTATGTGGTTGTAAAATACAGTTTTTACGGTACAAACAATTGAAATTTAAAATACTAAAAACTTACTTTCCTTTACTACTGAAATGGTAATAGCTAGCAAATATAACTTCGGAATTAAAAAAAATCAAAAATACATCGCTTTATAAATTCTTTATGACAATTAAAAATTTTTTTGTAAATGTAGTATTCTTCAAATTTCTCGTAAGTTTACACTGTGAAATTTAATGAAATCTCTTTTTGTAAAAGACGTCAGCAGCAGGATTTGAACCTGCGAGGATAAATCCACTAGTTTTCTAGACTAGCGCCTTAACCACTCGGCCATACTGACATAAAAAAATTACAAAATCATTACAAATAGACAAGAATAGATTACTCATTACATGTGAAACACTTGAATTTATTACATGTTTTTAAATAATTTTATTGTGTTCTTTCGGTTGCTAACTTAAAATTTCAGTTAGTGTGTTTAATTCAATTTATTGATTCAAACACAATGTTATGCTAAAGTAAAAATCTTATTAAAATAAAATTTATGCTATAAATCTACATGTGGAAATTTATAAATTTCATTTTAAATTTTTTAATTCTATTTAAAGTATCTTTAAAGAAATTTTTTAATTTTAAAATCTGTTTACATTTGTTTGTTCCTCATGTTGAATTACATTTTGATAAAATCTGTTGATTAAATTTTACACCAATTACAAAAATATGGAATCAATTTATTTTGCTCAAAAAACTTAAAATTCACTAATTATTGTTCCCAATTTAAAATTAGAAACACAAAACCAATCATTACAATGTTCATATATACTAAATTATTGCAGTTTATTGTAAACTTATTAAAAGATATATCTATTAAAACAAATATTCATAATAATTTTACACAACTTTATTAAAAATTTCGAATATTAACAAAAATTGTTAAATCACTAGCAGAAAAAGCAATTTTCATGTTATTTTATAAGATGAAAAAAATTCCTTGCTTTTTTTAAAATTCTTTTGAATCAAATGATCTGTCCCAAATTGATTTTTTTTATTTCAACTTGTTCTTACGAATATCTAAAGCGATGTTCAATACTAATATGCAAAAAATTTAAAAAACTTTAGATGTACAACCAAAACACACAAATAACTTTTTTACTTGATAATTATATATTTTCTAAGCATATAAAAATTTATATTTACTTTTTTATCTTTTAATTTACATAAAATCATTAGTTCTAAAATTTTCAATAAGAAATGATGAAATATGTCTTAAGCTCGAAATTTATATAATAACTAAATTTTTGTTTAAGACGTTAACATCAGCTGTAGAATAACATGTTTCGGTGTGCATACTTAAAAAAGTAAATATAAAAAGCAAATATGAAAAAGATTTATATAATTGTTATGTTTGTTGAACAAATTTGGAGAGCCCTTGTGATCACTGTAGGTCTGTCCCATTTCTTTCCTCTTTGCTTCTTTATTAAAATGCATTATATTTTTTTTAGTGCTTGTTATGCTAGAAGCATCGGAGGGATAGTTAGGAGGTAAACTTATCTAAAATTGCTATTCCCTCTGGCTCAATGATGTTTACTACATAATTGTATAGGTAAAAAGATGTCGTTAAACATTAAATTTGTGTAAAAATCAACATGAATTAAAAATTTAAAATGTGGTGATTAAAAAATGTTTTATATGATTTGAATTTATTTAGATTCGTATTAGTGAATTTTATTCTCTTTGCCTTTAATAAAAAAAAATTTTTATTAACAAGTTCATTTTGTTTTATTTTTCAATTTATTCCGCGCAACAAACATCAATATATCTAATATAAAATTATATGCATAATAATGTGACAATGATTTTAGAAACTTATTTCACTATCAAAATCTTGAAATTTACAATTAACATATTATCTCAAATAAAACCATCATGCAAGATAGTATTTATAACTACAATGAAAACCTTTTGATTTAAGATTTTTACGATAAAATACTGAAGATACAATTTGCCAATACGATTTATAAATTATGAATATATTAATTTTACTGCAAAAGGTACAAAAGCCATGTTACAACAATAAAATTATTAGATTCACTTTAATAATATAGCATTATCTTGCTGTATCATATATTTTCAGTTCGAATTTATTAACATTATAAAACATGTTTACAAGTCATGATTATAAAAAGTAATTATACAACAAAACAAAGAAAACATTATTTTAATGTAATTATGACAATATCATTTTGTAAGTGTATGAAAATAAAGAAAGATTTTTTAAATTTAATTACCAAAGCTTTTTATTTTTTTTTGATTAATCAGTTTATTAAACGTATTTTTTATGCCATAAAATTGTTGTTTGCTGCGTTTCATATTAACTATCACTAAATTCATCTTTAAAATTTTTTAGTGCATTTAGAAGTAAATAAAAGTATTTAAATGTAAATTATAAGCGATAAATAATCAATTATAATAATATACAAATAATATCACAGTAACAATTTTTGTTTGATAGGAAGTCTTTTATCCATATTTTTTGCATTATTGTGATCAAGATAATGAAATTGATTTCCCATATAATTAAAAATTTATTTTTTTTTGCTTTTATTTATTAAAGCAACCATCTTAACACTGTGTAAAAAATGATGTGTATTTATGTTCACGACCTAAAGTGAAAACAATGTTTCTGAATAATCCGAATTATTTTTATATGTCTAATGCATAAACATTTATCAATCTTTTCTGATAAATTTAACTTTTATCTAACAAATATCATAATCAATCTGTTAGACGTCGAATATATAGGCTTTTAGATTATTGAAAAATATCTTTTTTAAAAAAATAAATCGATTATACTTGTAAAGGTTACATATAAAGAATTTTATAGAATAATTTTTATATTTTTATTCTAAATCATCATTATAAGGTTGCATATTGATTTTGATAAGTTATATCATTTATCAATTAATATTAAAAAGATTACAATCAAAAAAGGAAATAACCAAATTTTGGATTTTAAACAATAATGTATAATAAGAATCAGTGCACAAAACATATTTATTTAATTTATTTTAGTTTAGCTACTTATAAAATATAATATATCTTAAATTAATCAGATAAATATGCATATTGATCACTTCTCATATTTTGTATATTCAGTATTCTGCATTTTAAAATTTATACCCCAAGCATTTATACACAATCATTTGTGCTCGTTCTGAAAAGTATAATACATTAAAAGAAAATTCATTTTTACATACATTTATGAACTATATTGATAAAAAAAATCAAAACAGCAAAATATTAAACATTAAATAGATGCAAAAGATACCAAATATAAAGTTTTTTTTTATTGTGAGATCTTAGATCTTTTTTTTCCAAGATGACTTGCGATTAAATTTTAAGCATTTATGAATTCACCTTTTTAACTGATTAAAATGAGCAAAAAATACGTTTTATAATTTAAATGTCTGTATTCTGCTACTTATCTCAATTTAATTGTGTTAGCACTGTGATAGTTCATGATTTAAGTAATTTTGCCAAAAAAAATTACACTGTTTTATGCTTGAAAATTTAGACGGTAAATATTTAATTAAGTGTTGAGTTAACTTTCTTTTGTGCTTTTAATGTATATTGTGTGTAATAAAGGCATTTACTATTTAGTTTTACAAATTGAATATTTTAGAAAGAACACAGATTTGATCTAAAATAAGGTAGTTAGAAAATAAATCTACAATTAAAATATCCAAAAATCTTTAATGATGACTCTTAATTCTGATTTTTTTTTTATAATAATAAAAAACAAAAAAAATGCATTATAATGGGTTCATAGTGAAATAATTTTTATAGATACTGATGTATAAATAAAAAAATATCAATTAATGCTGATTACAAAACAAATATATAAATTTTTTAAAAATAAGTTTTTCAATTTATTGTTTGAAAAACAAATATTTATAGAGAACCAATACTTAATAATCTTTTATCCAACCATTTTCAGTTTTAAGGTTACATTATACTGTGGTATTTTTTACTTTATGCCGTTTTCTTAATAATCGCATCTAATTCGTAATCCATGGTGTTAATTAAAATATTTATTATAAAAAAATAGGGTTTTTATTTTTAATTATTTATAACATCCAAATCAAGAATATTCTTAAAAAATTTTCTTTGCCCCAAACAACAATAAAATTTTTAGTTATTAAACGATTTATGATAAAATCATTTTAAATACAGTTTTTAAATGCTCTTTAAGTATTTTTAGATATATTTTCATCATATAATTTTTAAGATCTATAACTGGTCCCGCGTACATTTATATTTTTCATAGTTATATTAAAGGTGTGTTAATTTAATATATTGATAATCATAACATGGTAATGATTGCAAAATTTCAATTTTTATCACTGTGAATCGCCTTAAATCTTCAAATAATTTGCCAATACATTTATAGAAAAATGTGATATATCTCTAAAAAAACTAGAGAAATCATTTAAAATTCTATATAATATAAGAATTTAGCAGAAATTTATTGTTTCTAACAAAACATCTAAATTATAATATTAATATTTGTTCTTATTGCAGTATGTTCTAATTAAGAATTTTTTGCTAAAAAATGTGATATAACCTATCACATCCCTACCTTAGTTATTAAAAGTTTATAGTTTTTGATAAATATAATAATTTAAATTGTTTTTTTTGAAATTACTTTATAAAAATATTTTCATAATTGAAAATGAAGAAATTTAGTATATTGGAAAAACTAATTTAAAAGAGTTTCCATTTTTTAAAAAAAAATTGTGATTATAAAAGATAAGAAATATCAGATTTAGTTATTTAAGTGTAAATAAGATATAAAAAGAGAGAAAAAAAGAAAATATTCAATAATTATAGAAATAAAAATAACAGTAAGAATAATAGAAATATTAATAGTAGTAATAGCAATTGTAATAATGATAGTCATATAAATAAATTAAGTAGTAGCTTTGATAAAACAATTTTAACAAATAGTAAAAGTATGTTGAAAATTTATAGCAATACAAATAATGTTTCTATTATACAGGACAAAAAATTTTATACTAACCAGCTTTCTAAGTAATAATGTAAAATTTTCGCATGGTTCAAATCAAATTATAATATTGTTGTGCAGGTATATCTCTGTTGGATAAGCACGTCTGATCAAATTTTAAAAAAATTATGTTTTCTAAAAGGCATATTATTTTATTCTATTGTATAATTATAGACAAATTTTTATAATTGCACCAATAAACCACATTAATGCTGATAAAGTCGTCCGACTCTTATTAATAACTTTCTGAACTTGTCATCAATCAAAATTAAATT